ACCACACACAGACGTATGAAAGACATGGGTTTCTGCTGTCGCATTCCTTGTGTCAAGCCACTCTTGAACCACAGACAGCGTCAGAAGCGTCTTGCCTGGGCTAAAGAGAAACAGGACTGGACTGCTGGTGAGTGGTCCAAAGTCATGTTCTCTGATGAAAGTAAATTTTGCATTTCCTTTGGAAATCAAGGTCCCAGAGTCTGGAGGAAATAAAGAGAGGCACTTCATCCACGTTGCTTGAAGTCCAGTGTAAAGTTTCCACAGTCAGTGATGGTTTGGGGTGCCATGTCATCTGCTGGTGTTGGTCCATTGTGTTTTCTGAGGTCCAGGGTCAACGCAGCCACATACCAGGAAGTTTTAGAGCACTTCATGCTTCCTGCAGCTGACCAACTTTTTGGAGATGCAGATTTCATTTTCCAACAGGACTTGGCACCTGCACACAGTGCCAAAGCTACCAGTACCTGGTTGAAGGACCATGGTATCTCTGTTCTTAATTGGCCAGCAAACTCTCCTGACCTTAACCCCATAGAAAATCTATGGGGTATTGTGAAGAAGAAGATGCAATACACCAGACCCAACAATTCAGAAGAGCTAAAAGCCACTATTAGAGCAACCTGGGCTATCATAACACCTGAGCAGTGCCACAGACTGATCGACTCCATGCCACGCCGCATTGCTGCAGTAATACAGGCCAAAGGAGGCCCAACTAAATACTGAGTGCTGTACATGCTCATACTTTTCATGTTCATACTTTTCAGTTGGCCAACATTTCTATAAATCCTTTGTTTTTATTGGTCTTCAGTAATATTCTAATTTTCTGATATGATGAATTTGAGATTTTCATTTGTTGTCATTTGTAATCATCAAAATTAAACAAAATAAACATCTGAAATATATGAGTTTGTATGTAATGTATGAATATAATATACAAGTTTCACTTTTTAAATGGAATTACTGAAATCAATCTACTTTTTCATGATATTCTAATTTTATGACCAGCACCTGTACACTCTGATGGCAACACGTCCATTTGATTAGTTTGTTTCAATAATCCCTGCCAACCGCTAACAAAAGGAACAACTGGCTTCATCATTTCTCTATTGTCATCCTGGATGATATCTAAAAGCTTTTAGACTAAAACAGTCCCGCTTTGTTTGCATGTGGATTAGTGGTTTAGTAGTAGTGGATTAGTTTTTACTCTTGGTTTCAGTATGAAGCAGAAATAAACTGGGGAGGGAAAAGATGAAACTGGTGTTTGGTGATTGAAGTCAACATAGTTTGTGTAGAATAACATGGTGACGTGAGGAAAGGGCAGAATGCTGCAGCTGCTGTGTGTCTACAGCAGGGGTCTCAAACTGGTTCCAGAAAGGGCCGTGAGGCTGCAGGTGTTCTTTTCCAAACAAGCAATAGCACACCAGACTCCAGTCATCTCATCAAGTGAGTCCAGTCTTAACATGATGACTTGATGAGATGACTGGAGTCTGGTGTGCTTTTGCTTGGTTGGAAAGAACACCTGCAGCCTCACGGCCCTTTCTGGAACCAGTTTTAGACCCCTGGTCTACATGTTCATTGTGTTAGAGCAGGGTAGGGTTGTCAAAAGTATAGATACTCAAAAAAGTATCGATACTGAAACATTGTATCCGGATACAATACTCATTTTCAAAAGTATCGATACAGCCATCTAAAGTGCAGAATAGTGGAAAATGCACTTTCTGAACACTGTGTGATTGAATAATTCTGTGCATTTTTCAGTTTCAGACTGAAAAACATCTGCAAAACATAGCCAAGGAAGGAACACTTAATTTTTATTTTGTAAGTTTTTTATCAAGCTTGCTTAATATTGTGCACAGCATACAACCTCAAAATATTATTCTTATTGTTTTTTTATTTATTTCTTGTATTTTTTTAGTAATGATAATATTTCTTTGTTTTTATTTTTGTGGTATCGAAAAGGTTATCGAGTATCGAATATTTTACTTAGTATCGGTATCGAGTTGAAAAGTTTAGTATTGTGACAACACTAGAGCAGGGGTGCTCAAGTCCAGTCCTCAAGAGCTACTATCCTGCAACTTTTTCATGCACCCCATTTTTAACCCACCTGAATCAAATGAGTGGCTCGTTACCTTTCCTCTGCTGGGCTAAATGAGGGGATTGAGCCTGTCGATTCAGGTGTGTTAGAGAAGAGACGCATCTAGAAGTTACAGGATGGAAGCTCTTGTGGACTGGACTTGAGCCTCCCTGTGTTAGTTTGGACGGTACCAGGTATACTTGAGTAAACTGGAAGTATCCTTTGTCTCCACTCTCCTGGGAGCCAATCACGTTGTTTTTTTTTCTGATTTCTTGTTGTCATTTTGTGCATACAATAAAAGTAAAATTATTTACTTTAAAATCAAACATTTCATGTCCTCTTGACGAGGATCTTATTAAGGAATGATCTCCATTAATTTGCAGAGAATCAGATATTTTTAGGGAGAAGATTCTACAGCTGTTTATATATTTTCAATTTCTTTAATATGATATACATATGAGCCTTTTTTATATTAAATGAAGAACTACTGAAATAATTTTTAGATTACACATAAATGGATTAATCAATTCTGGGGCTTCAGTGAAACCAACCTACTGAGCCTACTGGCACGATCCGAAGCCATTCCATAGGACTGATAACCGCCAATAACGGCCATTTATTGGGATGATAACATCCGAAGCGGCTGCAAGCAGACACTTAGTATTTACTGTGTAAAAGGAGACAGAATCCAACTTAGGAGGAACCCATGAGATGATGAACAGGTCCTACCTGTTAGGATAATGTTTTTAGACTTCATCTTCACCTGCTGAAGATCCTATTAGATCCTATTAGAAAGAATCATATTATAGTGATCTATAAATGGAAATAAATGTTAAAACGGCTGCCATACAGTACTCTATATAAACCTATGCATTAACTGGAGCAGCAATCTTCTCCCACACAATGTTCTTATCCTTTGCAGATGTAGCGCTGTTTCTGTCTTTTAAACCCTTTTTCCAGTTTGTTTTTACATTTCTTCATTAAAATCTCTATTTTCAGTGGTGTGAAATTGGACCTTACTGTTGTCTGTCATCATGATGACTCAGCAAATTGGGGCTCCGCTGATAATGGTTTTTCTTATTGATATGCACATGTTCAGGTCACAGTGGACCTACTTACAGTTGATCAAACTAACTCACAGCAGCCTTATTGATATTGAGTTTTCAACCGTAGGCTAGATCAATTTAGAGTTGAGGGTTTAACTCTGAGTTTGTTTAAACCTGCTTTGTGAAATAGACCCCTGGCCAGTGGCAGCTGAGAAAACCATTTGACATTTCATCCACCAATTACAGCACATATTTTCTTATCTAGGAATTACACAGTGGTCTGGATTATAATTAATGAATTGATAGTAATGTCTGTTTGTTTTTTGTTTTTTGAAAAATTGGAACAAACTTTTCTGTGGGAAAACAGTGCTCTGGGACACAATATGAGTAGAAGGCTTAATTTTATCGCTATGTTTAAAAAAAAAAAAAAGCTCTCTTCTTTGGTTGAAATTCCACGAGGATCTACCTTATGAGGAACACCTGAGTGTCGATCATTTTTAGGAACTAAATAGAAATATTTCAAACTCATTATTTACACAGCAGCATTTTGATCAGGTGGGATTGTTTCCCAGTTTTTTTATTTAACTCTATGTTAGAGTGATAATTATAAAATTATTGTGTGGACATATGAAACATTGAAAGAAAGAGGATGTTACATTTCTATTCTGTGTTTCAACCAGAAGGGTCATAAACTTTTATGACCTCCTGTAGGTCATGAGGCAGAATCACACGGCTGTGTGACTTCCATCCAGCCAGTTGGTCAATTCACACTATCTTGTTACCTGCATCCTCCCAGACAATCATTACTGGGCCTTTTGTTTTAGGCCCACCTGTTTGATGTTGTAACTGTTAATAAAAGGCTTTGCCATGAAGGGATCTGTGTGAGAAGGTGCTGGCTTTCCAAGCCAGCATTTTCTCTCCACCCGGCACACGCTGACGTCACAAAACCCGGTCTCTGTGTTGATCATTTCCTTTTAATCTTTTAAACTCACATTTTTCTGGATTAAAAACCCAACACTCTATTCAACAAGCAGTCTAATCAATAGAAAGACAGATACTGAGGATAGAACTCATCACCACTGTGGGGTTATTATTTAAACAAATTACATAACCTGAGCCACTCTGTTTTATCAAAAAGGAAAGTTTTAAGCTTAAAAGTAGACAGGGTGTCTGCCTCACGGACTAAAACTGGTAGTTGGTTCCACAGCAGAGGAGCCTGATAACTAAAAGATCTGCCTCCCATTCTACTTTTAGAAATTCTATGAGCCACTAGTAAACCTGCAGATTGAGAGTGAAGTGCTCTGTTAGTAATCAGATCTCTGATATCAGATGGATCCTGGTTAATTACAGCTTAGAGTCAAGCCTTGAAGTAACAATTGCATGGACTAGTTTCTCAGCATCACCCCTGGACAGGATATTTCTCTGAAGATAAAAGAAGGAAATTCTAGAAACCTCTATGATATGGGATTAAAATCGCAGCTCCTGCTCAACCTCTGACACATTGAGCTGGGGTATGTCTCTTCCAGGCAGAGGTGTACAGGAAGCGCTGCTGAGTTTAGGGTGTCTCATTACTTCCTCATTTGCCAGACAGTCACTGTGGTGTTGGATGTAAATGTTTTACTTTCCTTAATAATTGTTTGTGGGGAAATAAATTTAGGCCAGAATAAACTTCATATCTTCAGGTTGCTTGATAGGATCCACTCGCTCCTCAACCTCAAGGAGAGAGTTTGGTGCTTTTATGTGAGGTGTCCTTTATTTAACCACCAATAGAACGCCTTTTTGCTGTGTTTGTCCTTCCAGACCGCCTGCAGGATTATGATGGAAAAGAGGAGGATTTCTCTGACCAGCAGCTCTGGGGACAGGAGAGGAAATCCAGTTTGGACCAAGAGGAGTCGGAACATCCGCAGATAAAAGAAGAGCATCAAAAGCCAGAACATCCCTGGACAAAAGAGGAAACCATGGAGCTCCCCATAAGTGAGCAGAAAGAGCAGCTTGTTCTGAAGCACAAGATTCAAGATACAAGAGAGAAACCTTTCCCATGTTTGACATGTGGAAAAAACTTTCTTAAAAAAGAGCATTTAATGATTCACATGAGAACTCACACAGATCAGAAGTTTTATTGTCTGTCCTCTGAAAAATCTTTCACAAAAAAATCTAGTCTGGATACACATATGATAATTCACACAGGTGAGAAGCCTTTTGAATGTCTGTCCTGTGGAAAAAGCTTCACTAAGAAATCTCATCTTGATACTCACATCAGAATTCACACAGGTGAAAAACCTTTTTCCTGTACCATTTGTAACAAGAATTTTGCTGAAAAAGGTAGTTTGACTAAACACATGATAATTCACACAGGTGAAAAGCCTTTTGGATGTCTGTCCTGTGAAAAAAGTTTCACTAACAAATCTAATCTTGATAGACACATCAAAGTTCACACTGGTGAGAAGCCTTTTTCCTGTACCATTTGTAACAATAAATTTAATCAAAAGGGTAGTTTGACTTATCACATGAGAATTCACACAGGTGAGAAGCCTTTTAAATGTCTGTCCTGTGGGAAAAGCTTCACTAAGAAATCTCATCTTGATACATACATCAGAATTCACACTGATGAGAAGCCTTTTGAATGTCTATCCTGTGGAATAAGCTTCAGTAACAAATCTCATCTTGATAGACACATCAGAATTCACACTGGTGAGAAGCCTTTTTCCTGTACCATTTGTAACAATAAATTTAATCAAAAGGGTAGTTTGACTTCTCACATGATAATTCACACAGGTGAGAAGCCTTTTGAATGTCTGTGCTGTGGAAAAAGCTTCACTAAGAAATATTGTCTTGATAAACACATCAGAATTCACACTGGTGAGAAGCCTTTTTCATGTACCATTTGTAACAATACATTTACTCAAAAGAGTCATTTGACTTCTCACATGAGAATTCACACAGGTGAGAAGCCTTTTGAATGTCTATCGTGTGGAAAAAGCTTCACTGACAAATCTAATATTTATAGACACATCAGAATTCACACAGGTGTGAAGCCTTTTGAATAAGTCACAGCAGTTAGATGCCACAGGAATGAACAGTAGAGGTGTTTACCATGATTGACTGGTGATAAAATGTCCATCTAGAAACTCTTTCACCTCATTACATGAGAAACTCACGGGTTAGTGTTCTTTTTTTTTTTTTTTTTTTAGGACAGTTTTGAGAAAGCCATTAATTAACAGCTCTGTATACATAGAAACCAGAACAGATAAGGTGTTATACAGTAAATCCTGTACTCAGTTGATATAAGCAATTGATAAGTTTAAATAGAAAAAAAAAAATCAATGCAGACCCATATTGTGCAACTTTGGCATGGTGTTGCACATCTTTTTCTGAATGAATTTATTAAGAAAAGAACTCGAGTTTTATTTTTTACACTAAAAAACTTTTAATTGAATGATAAGCTATCGGCTTTATATATTCCAGAAACAGACTTTTATACTGAGCTAGGACACATTTGATGTGCTTTGCTCAGTTTTCCTGATGTGTTTTGAGGATTTTCTAAGAGATCAGCTGCAAATGATCAGAGTTTAGCTAATTCAGTGTCTTGTTGGCTTTCATTAGCAATGCATCAATCAGCCCTGCTACGTGTGTTGTTGAAACCAGGCCCACCAAAACTCCAACTGTTTTTGGCCCAGTGTTAGAGCTATGGTCAATGGATATTAGAATGAAGTAGATCATCTATAGAGGAGTCTCACATGAAGATTTGGGACATATATAAGTGTGTGTCAGTCTCAGAGTTAGTCAGCTACAAGCTAATTAATGTTGCAAAGTAGCTCCAGCCACCTTGAAAGGGGGTGCTGGGATTATGGGGTTAAACTACGGGACATCAAAGAACTCAGTTTAGAGGCTGGAGTCTGTAGTTCAGGTAAATTAAAGTCCTAAAATGATGAAACATGTTTGTTTAAAAAGATAAACAGGATTGATGATGATGATGATGATGATGATGATGTTATTTTTACAGATCAGTTTGAACCTGCTTTAACTTGGTAAAAAGCCTTTGTCTTAATAATGTATTAAAGAAATCTGACTCTCCTCTAGAAGTGTAAAGTTTCTGCTTTTTAAAGATTTTTTTGAAAGTATAATTTTCCTTTGAACTAATTCTAATAGTTTTGTTCTTGATTCTGTAGATGTTCTATTTACCTGCTATGATTGAAAGTAACTATCACCTATTTTATACAACTGATTTTATGGATTATATTCTGCTGTGGATGTTTTCAATTATTGTAATCGCTTCTAAATTGATGAATGAGCAGCAATAAAACCTCTTGGATTGTAAAAATGTGCTTTTTGATATAATTTCATATAAATTACAATCATTTTCCATGTTTTCTCTGATATTTTCAGCCAAACTAAAGCTCTAAAATAAATAGTTTAATGTTATTCACCTTCTGTCTTCTCCAGTCTTTCCTGTTGCTCCTCCGTCAGCATTAATCTTCTTGCTTTTTAGAGCCTGAGTGTGTTCAAATCTGGCCATTGGATAAATCCTCCTTTGCTTGTTGGAGAACTTAGATTAGAAAATAATGTAGGTACGTATTCTGGCCCAGTTGGTTTGGCACCTGATAAAACAAGTGTTTCAGTTGCTATAACTGTGTGTGTCCAGAGCCGCTACTGTAGACGCAGTTTTATTGTCTTATATCAGAATCAGAAATCAGAATCAGAATATATCCTTAAACATGGCCCTACACTTACTTAGCAACCAAACTTAAAGGTCAGTTTTCAGTCTTAGTAACACCATGGTCTCCAAGGCTGTATGAGGGGGTTTGGCAAAAACAGAGAGCGTCTGTGTAAACACCTCTTGAGGGTCGCAGTGACTTTGACGCAAATCAGCACACGTGAATTCCAGTAAGATGTCGACACAATATTCCTGTGCATGTGCAGTTACGTAATGCAATGTCGAAGAGGTTAGTCATGCTTTAGATTATATTAGATGATTCTACGTGAAGCGTATAATGAAAACTGTTTACTGCACTAAAAGATTAATATAGAGACAAATCAGAATCGTAAATGCAGATGACAAAAGACTTAAAACAGATTATAGGCTAAAACAGACTAAATACAGTTCTAGCTCAAAGCCAGACAAATAAAGTATGTTATTACTTACTCAAATATCTTTGTGTTTCGGAAGACATTTTTTTTTCTGACCGTCTCTCTACCTCTTGATTGTTTCAGGGAGACAGGAAACAGTCACTCCGCATTCCAGTCTGATTAAACAACTTCTGTGCACTGCCGCACACACTCATTCAAAGTCCACAGGAAGACAACCTTTTATTTTTTCTAGCTTGGCAGAGAACTACAGGAATGATTAAGGTTAAAGTGGACACACTAACTTGTTTATGAATATCCAAGATGAAACGTACAATCTTAAAAAGGTTACATTCCTAGCTATCTGTATGGAGCCAAATAATATCTGAAAAGAGGATGAACAGTATAATAAGTAATAGTTAAAAATGTATCTCTGCAGGGTTTGCAAGATCAGGGATTAGTTTCATTTAGAAATAGACTTTATACAAATAAAATGAAAAGTTAAACAGCAGATTGCCACACATGTTCTTAATACATTTCTAACAGTAAAATACTGAATAAAAACAGGCTTTACAACTGGAAAAGCACCTTAAGATTTGAATTCAGGAATATTATGTAAATGTGAGATTATGTGATCCAAGTGCATAAACTGTCCAATAAATCCTAGATCTAGAATGTCTTTACAAATGTTGTTATATAGCACAGAAAGTCAGAATGCAGATTGTATTTACCAATACTGTAGGATGGCATCAACTTGCTTCCAGAGGGAAAAGGATTTTTGCTTATATTCTCATTATTACTATACTGCTAAAATCTTTACTACTTCTTACTATTCTTGTGCATGAAAACCCCGGTTAACAAAATTGGAACAGAAGGCTAAGATAATAAGAAACCATATTTTCAGTGTTTTAGGGCAAAGATCACCAAATTGCCCCTAGATGATGCCTCCACCCCTTGACAAAATGGCTGAGCCTAGGTACGCTATGGAGCCTGAGAAGAACACCTGAGAGCTGAGAGTGGTTTGACTATATTATTTCTTGTCTTTTCTTTCAAAATCTAATTCCCATGTAAGAGGAACCTGTTTAACGGCTGCATTGTAAATTCAAATTATTATTTTACTCATGTTTTTCTTTCCTTTTGTCATTAACATATAATTGGGGATTGATGCATTTCGAGGAAAAGGACTCAGGAACTCTGTGATGAGAAGGACCTTACAGAGAAATAGAAAAGGTGATGAAGTTTGATTGTATTTATCTCACACTTAGCTGTGTTAGCAAGTATTTAAATTACAAGATTCCTGAAATAATTGTGGAGCGATTTGAAGCTGTCACTGTTGGAAGCTGGAGAAGTTCCATCTTTCTCCAGCAGAGTCTGCCGTGGATCCTCCTGAGCAGAGCCTCCTGCACAGCTGCTGCTCATTACCTTCACCAGAGGATCCACTACTTAAGCTGTCTTCAGACCTTGCCTCAACGCCGCAGTGTTGATCCAGTTGGTTAGCGCCTAAGCCTAGTATCTCTGAGAACCTTTGTTGATTTTTGAATCCAGACTGGATTCTAACCTTGTCTCTGTTTTTCCAGGAAACCTGTTTTTCTCCTGTGAAGCTCTGGAAGAGCTTAACCTGCCGAGCCTGCCCTCTGAGCCAAACCTGAAGACTCTCTCTCTGGACTCTCATGCAGCTCTGGACCAAGAGCTGGAAACTCAAATCCAAGGTCAGCTCCCTCACTAGAAGTAAGACGCTGAAGCAGCTAGCGGACTCTGCGAACCAAACTCTCTCCAGTTCCAACTACCTTCCTCTCCAAGCCTTATTCAAGGACCCTCAAGGTACAAGTCAGAAACAATCTTCAGACAGATCTCTAAGTGCCCCGCTAACTAAACTGTCTTCCACACAGACTCCAGTGAACCCGTTCCCAGGACCAGAACCAGAACCAAGTTCATTGTACTTGTTTTCAATAAACTCTGTTAAACTTTTACTCCTGCTTCTGCCTCGTGGTGTTCTGTATTATTGGGTCACTTCTGAGTACCAATCATGACAGAAACACCGATTGCACAGTAGGGTTGGACTGCCATTTTCTTTGAGTAAAGTTTTCTCCTGTTTTTGTTATCTTAGGAAGGTAAGATGATTGTAATTTATTTCATCTTTCTTTTAACAGGTAAGGTGATTTAACAAAAGATAGACTTTTTGTTTGTTGTTTTGGCCTGAGGTCCAATCTGAAGTCCTACAATCGTGTTACATGATTTATTTTATTATTATCAGAAAGGTTAATTCTCTTAGATTTGAGTTTTACAGATTATTGGAGGATATTTGTAAATATTAGTAATTTCAGATAAGAGAGAAGATACACCAAGAGACAATGGGACATTTCTGCAACAATCAAAAGTTATCTTATTTTAATTGGAACATTAATTACAGAAACTGGACTCATGAAAAACAGGATGTGTAACATCTCTAGATTTAGTTTCAAGATACTGGTCAGTTTTTTTCTTTCCTCTCAGGATTACATCTGATAGTGAGATTTAAGGACACTGGGACAAGGACTGCCCTCACTCTGGATCCGCATAAGCCATGGACACATGAACGATATGCGAGGCCCAGGGGACCAGGACAACCAAGGAGCAGACTGACTGAACTCAAATAATAAGGGAAGTACACCAGAGAGTAATGAAAGGACAAGAGGACCAGCGAACTCTAGCTACACGTCGAAAGAATGCAACTCCAAGGAGCGACCAGCAGATGGACGACGGAGAGGACCAGATGTGACGGAAGCATCACAGGGGGGAATGGGATCCCTCTCCAATTGAATTAGATAAGTCGAACACTACGTACTACAATAAGATTGGAATAATATAACATTTATACAAAAAGTGAGAATGTTAGAGGTTTTTGATGAACAACTTGTACAACACAATTTGTGTAGTTGTACACAAAAATGAAAAATAACTACCATATTTTCACAACTATAAGCCGCATATAAACGTCTTTTTTTCCCCTCAAAATGTGCGGCGCGCCCTATGTGTTACTGCGGACATTGTTGAGACCACCATGAGAACGTTAAAGGGGGAAGTGTGGGCGTGGATTGTGTATAAAAGAACAGGTATGTGCTTTATGCGGAACATTGTTGTCATAACCCTGAAAATGGCAAAGAGACACGCCTATGAGTGCAAGTTTTCCATCCGGACCAGGACTACATTTGCTCAGCGACGTCCGGCGGATTCTGATGAAAAGCTGGCAAGCTTCCACTCCTTCTGCAGCAAACACATCGCCGACAAACTCATCCAGCCAAGCCACATCACCAACATGGACGAGGTGCCGCTCACTTTCGACATCCCGGTGAATCACACGGTGGAGAAGAAGGGGACCAGCACGGTAGAAATACACACAACGGGGTATGAAAAGCCGTCGTTTACTGTTGTGCT